AAAGCAGGATTAGGAAGCAGGGTCGGCAACAATGCAACGGCAAGCAGCTGAGCTCTGCAAAGCAAAACTGCAAGGTAAAAAAAAAAAAAAAAAGGTCTTCTGAGGAAACTAGTCATACACTTTGGCCAGAAATATCTTGAAATGTGCAATATTCACATGACAAAACAGTGTGATTGGCAGCACTCCTGTGATTTCAAAAGAGACCGAGGTAGCTGTTGTGAAAGGGGTGCTCAGAAATGTTCTGTAGATCTGCTGTAAGTGGAGTCTGTGGAGTGGCAGGGTGTATGTACTGCAAGGATTTGATAATAAAACAGGATCTGGCACTTGTATTCTCAGTTTCTGCTCACAAATATAACGCTGGGGACAGATTGGCAAAAAATAACTGCTCAGTGTAGATGGATTTCTGATGGAAAAGGGACATCCTGAAGGTGAGACTTCATATATCTGTGACTTATGTTTTTAGATGATATCAGGAAAAAACAACTGTGTCATTTTCTTTCAATGCAAACGAACATTTTCTACAGATTTTGGTGGAAAAATAATCACAACTTGTCAATCAGTTATGTTTTATACCAACTGTCCTCACCCAGATCAAGGAAGAAAAAAAAAAAAGAAAAAAGAAATGTTTGACTACACCTTCAACCCTTTGCACAGCCATAATTCACCCTCTCAATCTGTCGGCTCCGGCGGCACAGTAGCTCCATCATCATGCAATAATGCTGGACTCAATCGTAGGTAAGAAGATGATGCTCTTCAGGGAGGGTGATTCTCCCCTCCACAATAAAACCGGCTTCTGCCAAGAGCTGACGAGATTTATCGCCGTGTCTGTTTAAATGTAGCCAATTTCACTTTAATATGATATTAAAGAATGATGCATGCCTGGGCGTCACACATTCCCACCGAGGGACTCTCATCTGCCTATGGCAGCACTCAAAACCCAGCATGGCGAGCCAGTGATACAGCTGATGTAATGTTCAGTATTGATAACAGCCCCTTGCAGAATGGGCTCTGATCATTTAGGAAAATATTGTGCCTTTCTTTGGGTTTTAAACTACCATTTTCCTGGCCCTGTGCCTGGATCCCTTCCATCCATCAGCTCGATTTGATGAGCAGATACCTACAAAGCTCTTATCTACCCCAGTGAAATGAACTCTGAGTGCGAAAACAGAGCGGCAAAAAAACGTAGATGTGCACACGAGGTGAAATGTGCGTTGGAGATGTGCAACTGGAAACCAGGAATTGTTTCTGAAATCTGTCATCAGTAGCTTTACGCATTCATTGTTGCTGTGCAGAATAAAAAAGGATGATACCAGAAAGACTTAATAAAAAATAGCCTGAAGGATATCTGCTATCCCTGAAATGTGTTTTGGAGGATTTTTGGTTTTCATTCATTTCACTAGCACTTAGAATTTGAGTGTTTGCAGAAATTCCAGTTGTGTAAACCATCTTCGTCTGCATTTGTTTTGGTCAGTGTTGCATTATTTCCATGAGGTTAAGCGCTGCACCATTTTTTAACCAATCTACAAGATCAGCCATTAATTTAACCAGAAATATTAAAAACGAATTCAGCAAATTAACTGAGATCACAGGATTGAAACGGAAGATTACAGCAAACCATAAAAGTACAGGTAAATCTGTCTATTGATTAGCTTTCATTGTAAAAGCTCTCACCATCTGTTCATGCTGCACTGCCATTACATGCTAGAAGTTCACGGACTGTATACTCAACATACAATATGCATGACTGCAGATTTATCTTAACACTGCACAGAAGCGAATTGAAACCAATTGCTCCCTGCAGAAAAGGAAAAACACATCCAAAAATCAGAAGCTGCACTGCATGCTTTCTGCAGCGGTCAGCAGAAATGTACAGTATGAATACATGATTTGAATGTGATGCACTAAGAACCACACATACTTTTGCATCTGTCCTCTCAACTTTTTTTTCTTTCTGTTCCCGATAAAATAGCCACGTTTTGACCGTGCATTTGCTTGTGCAGGATCCCTTCTTCCTGCCTCTGTGTGTGTCTCCAGCGTTCAGTGTGTCAGCTCTTGTTGATTTCCGCAGGGGAAGTTGCCTCGGTGCTATCCTCAGACAAAGCCCTGACCCCGGGGGTTAAGGAATGTGAACCCGGGGCTGTGACGATCAAGACCTTCCCTCGGGGCAGACAATGCTGAACACCTCAGCAAACGGCCTAATGATCTCAGATGCTTTTCGTGTTCCTCGTAGGGCACCTTTTTTTTTCTCCTCTGTCTTCAATCGACGGGTCACTTTTAAGTGGAATCAGATTGAAAAGAGAGATTTTTTTTTTTTAATTTCAACTTCTTGCTTTAAGTTGTTTCTCTTATTAGCCTAAGATGCAGCGTTTGAGCGTAAAATACGTCTTCCTTCTGGTTGTTCTAATACGATTTGTTGATTTCAAACATTCAGCAAATTGACATTGAAGCATTTTTTCCTATTTTTGACACAAGAACAATTTATTACGCAAAAAAAAAAATTGCAACCTATGTTTATCTGTACATTCCTCCTGACTGGAAACCATTGTCATTGCCGCTGAAAGAAGCCATAATAACTTTTACGGATGAGTTTGTTGTGAATGGTCAAAGTACAAAGGAGACCAAAAGGCCCTTGTCTCATTTATCACCCACTTTAAGAGAGGGCGAGAGGAGGAGGTGGTGAGGAGGGGGCTGTCAAAGCAACCATAGCAGAGTGTATCGTAACAGTCGTGGTCTCTCATCCCCTGAGGCCCAAACACATTGCACAGAGCGGAGAAACAGAAACAGAAAGAAAGAAGACCAAAAAAAAAAGGAAAGAAAGAAAAAAAACCTGAGCCAAGAGATATTGCAATTTAGAGGGAAGTGTGGACTCAAGGACTCTGCGTGAGGAGGTGTGAGCCATTGAGAGGAGCCAAAACAGCCTCCGGAGAATTTATATGGATGGAGGTGAAGGGTCACACCGCTATTAATCATGGCCCAAGTTGGGGATTAAATAGCTCAGTGCAGCAGGAGGATGAGAGAACCCGGCCCGATCAAGGTGTTTAAGAGGACCGTGTTATGTCTGTCTTATGTTACAGTGCGAGGGCCCAAGGCGAAACAGTTCGCCGGACTAAGCACAAATAGGATGCTCCTCCCTCCATCTCCCTCTTATGGAGGCAGCCAATTAGCTCACTTAGCATCATCACGCTAGCACGACACCCTCTGAAGATTGATAATTGTTTGCATGGATGATAGATAAAACAAGCGCTCACACAAAAGGAAAGGGGATAAGGACTTCTCGCTTCACATGTCTGCAAACTCACACACACATGCGCACAAACACACCTTGAATCAGTGCCCAGTCAGACTTAATTTTTCTCTTTTTTCCCCCCAACACAACTGCCTTTGATCTCTGATGTGCCATGCATTGCATTAATTATGTATCTCGCCTCAGTACAAACGTGGAGAACACCTTCAAGTTCTTAATAGGAGCAGGCTCATCACAGGGGCCTGGAGGATGGCTGCAGGAGACGTGTGCACGCCCTGCATCACTCCTATATATATATATATATATGCAGTGCATAAGGGAAAATGTAAAGCCTGCATCTGAGCTATACCTTCCATCAATCTGGGCCAAAGACGGGACTTTTTTTTTTTTTTTTCTCAACTCTTTGGAAGCATGTGCCTTTTCCATGTGTGCAGGATAGAGTGTTGCAGGAGAGGAGCCGCACAGAAGGTGTATGTGACTTGAATTAGGCAAGTGACGTGGCAGCGAGGAACAATGTCAGAGAAATGATCTAGATTGCACATCGAGCTAATACAGTGGGAGTTATGCAAATGAGTGTGCTGCTGCTTGCTGCAATGCTAGCCTAGGGGGGACCTGATGTGAATCTGCTGCAAACTTTTATGCATCTCCAATAAATGTATATATTTTTTGCTTTTTTTTTATGCCACGTTGGCAAATCACAGTATGAGTTTCATAGATTCAGAGCAGAGAGGTTTGAGAGAAATGTTGATATTTTAACCGCAAACAGGGATGCAAGGGATACACCCCCATTAAGAACACGCGCTCTGTCCATTTGTTGACGCGTTTGTGTTTTCAAAAGACATCACTGATGCATAAAAGGCACAAATCGGTGCATTAAATGCACCAAAATGCAAGAAGTGTAGAGTTTAGTGCAATGTTCAAGGAGATTTTTTGTGCCTGGGAATGTAATTGTGCACAATTTTACCTGATCTTGGTTTACTTTTTCGTTTTGCTGCTTTGCACAATTTAAACCCAACTGTAAGGCGATATCCAGATACACTTCTGATGTAGTGCAGAGTTGATGAATATCTGTTGAGCAAAATCTATTTTGTTTGTGCTTTGCGAGAAAAGAGCAATGAGTTCACATGACTAATTTCCATTGCGTAAAATAATGAGAATTTTTCCTAATCTGAATGCACAAAACAAAATAAAATAAAAAAACAACAACATGCAGACAGTTTTAGGTCCAAAAAAAGTTACTGAACAGCTGCAAAAAAAAAAAAAAAAGCTCAACCTAAGTCTGATTCAGCTTCATTAGCAGATCTGAGGTCAGATTGGGACTAAGTAAAACATTATCAAACCTCAATCCTGCTGTGTAGCTGGCAGCTTCTGGGAAAAAAAAGATGGGCTAACTTCTTGAGCAAAGACAGTTGAAAAAAAAAATCTGTGTAGTGAGCCAACAGCCCTGGTTCAACACATGTGACCAGGTTAGAATAACAGGAGATAAGCGCTGAAAAGAATAAGTAGCTGCTGCTCAGCTGAGAGAAGAAGGATTTAAGAAGCAAGAGTCCTGGAAAATAACTACAGGAGAGTGCATTCTCCCTTGTTTGGTGATGTTAATTTTTTTTGTTGTTGCAAAAGTTCACAACAAACCAGCGCCGTCGGTCGCTGCAAGCCCGGAGGACGTCGGTGGGAGTACCCCCTGCACGGGTCCCTTTTGCAGTGCGGAGCCAGTAGTTGGAGTTGTTGTACAGCGGAGAGGAGAGAGAGAGAGAGAGAGAGAGAGAGAGAGAGGAGAGGAGTGTGAGCAAAGCAGCAGCTGAGTGAGCAAACACAGCTAGAAACATTAGGTTATCTTCCGAGACTATCAGACATCGACCTGTCACTTTTACCGCTCAGAGCCCTTCTTCGAGAGCAAACAAGCGAGCGAGCAAAGCAAAGCAAAGCAAAGCGGCAGGAGAAGCAGCGAAAGCGGCGGCAGCAGCAGCAGCAGCAGCAGCGCCCTGGTCTGGTCTGGTCTGCCCGTGAAAAAGAGAAAAAAAAAAACTCCCAAACGCGGTCGTCTCAGCTGGCATGAGCTAACCTACGACATGGAAACCAAACCATTCTTGTCATTGGGTAAGAAGTTGTTTTTATTTTTTTTAATTTTTTGTTTTAAATCTTGCAGAAACACTTTGAAACGTGTCCTCGCGCTGTTGTTTGTTTTTTTTCCTCCTTTTTTTTGACAGCGCGTGGAGCTCAAATGGAGCTTTATTGGTATTTAATTAGTTTTAATACTGACACGTGCTTAGAGTTATTGATAAAAAAGAAAGAAATGAAAGGCAGGAGTGTGCGCTGTGTGTTGCATATCTAACAGACATGTGAAGCTGATGACATTTGGCTTTGAGACGGAGTGACATCGCTCGCGGCAGGCTGTGCGCAAAAGCTCGCGTGCGCTGCAATTAAATACAAACTTTTAACATTTTGAAATAAAAATCTTTTCGGTGAGCTTAAATGTAGTCTTCATTTAATTACACGTGTTTGCGAGTGAGACTGAAAAAAATTAAACTGCTTCGAAAAAAAAAAGGAGTTTCAACTTCAAGGAACAGTTAAGTTGATGCTTTTTTAAAAGTTTTTATTACGTTCGCATGTTTTGGGGGTTTTGGTGTTAAATTTTTTTTTTTTAAAGTGCATACAAGCCTATACTTAACACGTGACTTGGTTCAAGTTTTACAACATGGCACCAAACTTCACCTTAAAACTGTCCTCAAAACAAAGTTGCTCGACTCAGTCCAGTCAGCTAAAGGTCAGCGGCAGCTTCACCTCAGCCTCACACAGGTGACACAGGTGTGCTCAAGTTCATGATTGTTTTTTTAAAGCATTGGAATTATCCTCTTCACATGTGTGCATGGTTTGGCATTTTGTGAGGCAGAGAGTGTGCAAAATTTCACATTAAATTTTTATGCTTTTTTTTTTTCTACTTCAGAAAATCAGGCATTTACACAGCTGGCATATTTCTTTTTTAAAAAAAATAGCTATCACATGGTAAATTCCAAAAATTTTGACTCAGTTTTCAACTCTTAATTCCTATTTTTTATTTATTTATTTTTAAAAAATGTATCCCCCCCCTTTTATTTGCAGCTTAAACACACTCATGCATGTCACGCTGTAAATCATTAATGCCCAACGCTACTGTAAGTTTGTCAAAAGCAGTGAACAGAGCAGACCCTTGTCCCCTTGCAGCAGAGACGAGCCGCGGAGCTGCAGGCGAGCCCCCTCTGTTATTGTGTCTGTTGCTCTTTCATGAGGGCGTCGTGTTACACCTCGACACATATCATCAGCTGCCTGTACGCACCGAGGAGATTCACAGGGAACTTCTGAGACGCCGGGCGGCTTTCTTCTGTTACAAGGCCCCGCTCGCTGACACTGTCGCCACAACGCCCTTTATGTGGCTTCCCAGAAAATACGCTAAACCGCCGGCGTTACACACACTGACAGGCTGTTATTACAGGTGCACCGTATTGTGTGTCCAACGCTGAAAGTGATTCAAGTTTCAAGTCTGCCTGAATGTGCGCCAGAGTAGCCCGTGTCAGCATATACAGACAGACAGACAGACAGAAAAGTCTTATCTCTAGGCCTCAACACTTAATTGTTTAAGTGAGTAGGAGCACTTTTTTTCCATCAGTGTTGGATCTCATCTTCTTTTTTTTCCCCTCCGAGCTGCACCACATGCTGTCTCAGCAGCTTTTTTTTTTTCATTGCCCATATAGTCCTAATCCGTCAGTCCTTAAATCACCATTTATATTTAAACTTGCTCCATCAAAGGTCCACTTGAGCGGCGATTGTTAATTGGCCGCTTCAAGGACGCAGCTATCTGCAAAGTCCTTGAATTTATCGATTAGCCACTTATACTCAGTGTAATTATCCGTCGTGCTGCATTAGAAATTCTGACATGCAACTGTTTGAAATGACAGTGAGTACATTTTACAATTATAGATCGGTTGTTGGCTATGATGACGACACCCTCCCCACCACCCAACCCCCCCCTTTTGGCACTGCATGCTGATGTGCAGCCTGATCCCACTATCAACCACCCTCACTTTATATCTGACATTAAGCTATGAAGACTGAGGGGATGACATTGAGAGGAGAATGTGTCCCTTTTGTCACAGCATTATGGGGCTGATCTTGACAGTCTGTCAGTGAAATAAACAGTGTGACTGTGAAAGGAGAGGAGAGTTTTCTGAACAGTGTGGAGCTAAAAAGAAAAAAGAAAAAGCCCTTTTTGGTGTGATTGATTTTCTGTTTTGGTTGATTATTTTGTGGCAAATATGTCAGCGCCTAGGTAGTTCGCCTTAATGAAATTCCTCCTACTGAAAGTTGCGCGTGTCTGGTTTTTATTGATTTCATTGATTTTTTTCCCTTCGCCTCCTTATCCATGTGAGGGGTCTCAGGATAGAGGCGCAGATTGCAAAGCACACACAGACGAATTTAAGCAATTGAAGTAAACTTTACTGAGTGCAGTTAGGCAGAGACGATAAAGCCGTCATTTTTAATTAATTCCCGAGTCTCATTTGTTTCTAATCTGATTTTCGTTCCCAATTGAGAAAGAGGACAACTTTTTTTAGAAAATATAAACCAGCTTAACTTCCTAAACTTTCTGAACGATAAATAAGAGTGGCACTTTTACACACAGAATCATCTGTTTTTATAGAAATCTTAATTGCACAGCTCTGCGAAATAAAACCTCCTTCCGCCTTCCTTCTGCAACCTCCTTTTGATAGATCACAGCTGAACACTCTTTAGCGCTATTGAAAAGTTTGCTCACTCCAAGGCCGGTTTTACTACCTGCTAAAGAGGTGTGCGTTGTTTTTTTCCCCCCCTTCCCGAGGTCGGCGGGACTTAAACTCTTTGGTGCTTTCTAAACATAAGGTACATACAACCTCGCAGACACTCGCTTCCAAAATCAATGAAGTTCATGGTCTTTGATGAGAAAGTGAGATTTGTGTGTGTGTGTGTGTGTGTGCGGGACTCAAGGCTACATTCCTTTTCTGGCAGTAACTCAGGAACAAAGGTAATACTGGTGGAGGTTGTGTGTCTGCCGGGAGGTGTGTGGTGGTGGAATTACACTGCCAAAAGCATTTGGCCAAGTTTGTCTTTTACGGCCGTCCAGTTTTGTGTTCCTGATGTGATGCTTTTGCTCCCCTTTTGAGAAAAAGGGCCTGCAGCTGTCATTTTTATTGGAGGAGTTTTATAGCGAGACTTAATGGCTTAAAGTGACAGCTCTCTCTCCCTCTCCTTTCTCTTTTTCTCCCCCCCCCCTCTCTCAATCTCACCCACGAGGCCTTTAACTCAAGCAAATCAAAGAAAATTTGCTCGCCTCCGATGTGCCCACCCTCCACTTTCCCACCCCTCACCCATTGCTGTCATCCGAACCAATCCGCGCCGGAGAAAAACAGATTCACGCTCAATTACGAGCACAGCAAGAGCGCGCCGACCTGCGTTTTCTTCGTGGAATATCTGTGCTCATCAGCGTGGAGCATTAATTATACCTCATGACTAAGAATAAGGCGCGTTGGCTTCGGATAAAGCGGTGCATATTTTAGCCTGTCATGCTCTCTCTCTCTGCAGCCCACACTTGTTTACGTTCTAAACATAGTACGAATCAAAAAAGTGCTTGAAGGCTCTCTGATGCACAAAACATGGAATGACTCAAAGGCTCGTTAATTATTTGTGCAGGGAGCTCCTCGCTCGCAGGAGGTCTTTATTGATAACGGCCGCACTGAACTTTGCACCTCAAACCTTGACCTTTGCTCCCCATATGCTCGATCATTTCAGGAATTTGCCTTCGGCGTCCAATCTGTTGTTTAAAAGTGTTTAAAGACAGTAGCTTCTCTTCTTTTTTTTCCATTCTTTGATTTTGAGTTTTATGTTTTTTTTTTATTTCTATCCTTTGCTGTTCCTTTTTTCCTCCTAAGATTTCACACTCTAGGATTTGTGGTGATTCACATTAGAGTTGCAACCAAGGATTATTCTAAGTCCGGCCTATAAAAATAGCGAAAAGTGTCCTTCACGAGTTCCCAGAGTACAGGATGACGTTTTCACATTGCTGTATTGTTTTGTCCGACAGTCTGAAGTGCAAAGAATAGTCCATTCATGCAGTTTATACTTTAAATGTTTGGCATTTTTGATTCACATAGGCACCAAGTGGTTCAGTTTTGTTGATCAGATTGATTTCGATCATTTACATTCTCAGCGTAGACGTGCAGCTGCTCGGTTGTTTCTATGAACACTTTCAGTTGTGGAATCATGCGAGCACCATTGGTCTCAGGGTTTACTGCTGGTCCTCGGGAGTTTCTGAATGGCTTTTCTGTGGGCTGGCATTATTCAGGGTGCGTACAGCCACTCTTTTGAAGTGGAAACGTAGTCTCTGTGGGGATTTGACCAGATCACACTCATAATTCGTATTGAGAGCAAGGTCGGTTTGCCCTACTCTAGCCAGAACTCTTCTCTCTGTTCTGTGTGCATCACGAGGCGAGGGAAAGGCTGGAAAAGTCAATCCGCGCCGACATAGGAAGCCAGAGTATAAATAAGGAAGAAAGGAACGAAAATAACACTGCATATTAGATTTGGTGTTACAACATTAAAATGCCTCCTAAAACGGGAGCTGTCAGAGGCTAACTACCCTCTCCTTCTCCTCCACAATCCTCAAGTTGGCATGTTTTCAGTAATAAAAACAACTGTCAGCTCCTTTTCTCCCATCCTGGTAATGCATGAAAATATCTTTGGCTGTTTGGCGGTTATGATGTGTTTATTAATTATGTTGTGAGCACATAGGCTTTGATGGGTACTCGCTGGGGAGGGATGACGAATCCAGTGAATCCTAGATATGCTATGCTCCTTCATGTCGTTTACATTTCCTTATGCCCACATTTCCCCCCTCCCCACACTAATTGTAATTGGCCCCAATGAGAACCACCAATTTAAGAAAAAAAATACACATATATGCTGATTTATTTCATTTGAACTAGCCCTCTAGAATAATGTAAAACAGAAGTTTATTTTCTGCATCCAGAAGTAAGATACAGTGCATGATTGCTTTACATGTAGTAATAATATGTATCTGTTACACTTGAAGT